AATTTTACAGCATAGTTTGATAAAGGAGATTCTTATCTAGCATCCAAAACTTCAAATACAATAGCGAAAGGTTTTGCAGCTGAGTTATTAACGGAAGAGAAAGTCGATGGAGAGAATCGATCAATGCAGATAGGACCTTTTGAAATGTTTATCTAGATATGCATCATTTGGTGATATCAATAGATTTGCACATCATAGTTCAATATTCTACTTTATCGACTTCTACTTTACCGACTCTAAAAATGAATCGACAAATATATAAACAAAACTGCCAGAAGCCAGAGCTTTCACATATCTTTTTAATGGGTCTGATTTGGGATTCGATCATGGACTGTTGGGTTTGTGCTGCTGCCGGAGTTTTTGTTCGATCTCACTGTGCCACGGTTGTTCTTATATATGAGGCGGGTTGATAGGATAAAGTCACAAGTCTTGTTTTCGATGTTTACCTTTCTTAGCAAGCAATTCACATCGCATTGAAATGCAACACACTTTAAATCCATCTGTTTTAAACAGGAGTGTGATTCAATGTTGTGCAAATTTTTCAACATTTCAAAGTTTGAAACACTATAAATTAACGTGTATAAAACATTGAAACAAGGTGAAATATACTTAAAGGCTTAAAGTAAATGTGATTGTGCATTCAAAAAAAAAAAATCAAGTGTTTAAACACTTCGATCAAACGTGTGGAATTTTTTGAGTGCAGTTATTGATGTTCAATACTTTACACTCAAAAAATTCTACACGTCATCATCATGTGTCTCACACTTAATTTTGCGCTTATTGTGAAACACATCCATTTCATGTGTGACTCTAATGCTATGAATCATGGGCGAACACTATGGATTTGAATTGTGAAACACTTGGATTCTATGTGCCTCATATGGTTATATCAATAGTTTGCACATCATAGTTCAATATTCTACTTTATCGACTTCTACTTTACCGACTCTAAAATGAATCGAAAAATACATAAACAAAACTTCCAGAGGCCAGAGCTTTCACATATATTTTTAATGCATGGGTCTGATTTGGGGTTCGATCATGGACTGTTGGGGTGTGCTGCTGCTGGAGTCTTCGTTCGATCTCACTGTGCCACGGTCAGAGGTGGCAACAGTACATTTTTTGAAAAACCATCGTCCAGAGCGAAGCAAAACAGCCAGCACACGGGCGGCCGTTTATAACTACATTCCAAGCGAACAGCGGAGAAAGAGAATAAATAAAATCTCGCAGCCTGATTTTTCCAAACAGTTTATTGTAATGAAATTTTAGCTGCAGGCTTGCGTGTGACAGTAAATTACCAACTCCCTTATTTACGCATAATTTTAACATCAATGCTTATGAGTGGTCAGTGTTCATTCTTATCTTTTAATTCCATGCAATAAACATCAAATAAATGCTGTAATTAGCCAGAAATCAGCAAAATTCTACACGACATAAATTTATGTCGCGCGCGCCACCGGTCTTGTCTGCTTCTTTGTGCGAAAATGTTCTGTCGCTGGCAGAAAACAGTTTAGAAATGTCATGACATTTTTGCCTCTTGCCAGTTTGTTTTTGTGTGTCGTCAAAATGGTTATCGCAAAAAGTATCAAATGTTAAGGAAAAAATGTTAAACTCCAGGACTCGTGCCACCAAACTGCAACTGCAAAACTGCCAGAAGCCAGAGCTTTCACATATCTTTTTAATGGGTCTGATTTGGGATTCGATCATGGACTGTTGGGTTTGTGCTGCTGCCGGAGTTTTTGTTCGATCTCACTGTGCCACGGTTGTTCTCATATATGAGGCGGGTTGATAGAATAAAGTCACAACTCTTGTTTTCGATGTTTACCTTTCTGAGCAAGCAATTCACATCGTATTGAAATGCAAAACACTTTAGATCCATCTGTTTTGAACAGTAGTGTGATTCAATGTGCAATACACTTGAATAAAGGGTGATACGGTCAAAATTTGGTCAATATCAACTTGACGTATTTCTTTCAATTTTGCATTTAAAAAACCTGAACACCCCTCATTTTGAAGGTGTGTGTGTGTAGAATGTTGCTTCTATTTTGATTTTGGAATTCACTCTTCAGTTGTCAAAATGCCGTCCAAGCAAGAAGAGCAGCGTATCAAAATTTTGCTCGCGCATCGCGAAAATCCGAGCTACTCGCACGCAAAGTTGGCAAAATCGCTAAAAGTTGCCAAATCAACCGTTACAAATGTAATTAAAGTGTTTGGGGAACGTTTGTCGACAGCCAGGAAGTCTGGATTGGGGGGAAATCGAAAACCGGAAGCCGCTGAGACGACAAAGAGAGTTGCCGGTAGTTTCAAGCGAAACCCTAACCTCTCTCTCCGAGATGCCGCAAATAAGCTGGGTGTATCGTCTACAACCGTGCAACGAGCCAAAAAACGAGCCGGACTATCGACTTACAAGAAGGTAGTGACTCCAAATCGCGATGATAAACAAAATACTACGGCCAAAGCGCGATCCCGGAGGCTGTACACGACGATGCTGACGAAGTTTGACTGCGTGGTAATGGACGACGAAACCTACGTCAAAGCCGACTACAAGCAGCTTCCGGGACAGGAGTTTTATACCGCAAAAGGAAGGGGAAAGGTAGCAGATGTTTTCAAGCACATGAAACTGTCAAAGTTCGCAAAGAAATATCTGGTTTGGCAAGCCATCTGTACCTGTGGCTTGAAAAGCAGCATTTTCATAGCTTCCGGGACTGTCAACCAAGAAATTTACGTGAAAGAGTGTTTGAATAAACGTCTGCTGCCTTTCCTGAAGAAACACGGTTGTTCCGTACTGTTTTGGCCGGATTTGGCATCTTGCCATTACGGTAAAAAGGCCATGGAGTGGTACGCCGCCAACAACGTGCAGGTGGTTTCCAAGGACAAGAACCCTCCCAACACGCCAGAGCTCCGCCCAATTGAGAAATACTGGGCTATTGTCAAGCGGAACCTAAAGAAGACCAAAAAAACTGCTAAGGGCGAGCAGCAGTTCAAGGCAAACTGGCTTTCTGCGGCGAAGAAGGTGGACAAGGTGGCTGTACAAAATCTGATGGCAGGGGTCAAGCGTAAGGCCCGGCAATTCGGATTTGGAAAAGCGGAAGCCTAACTGAATATTTTTCCTGAATTTTATACTAATTGAACTTGAAAAAGAAATTTAATTTGATTTTTTAAATAAACGATTTCACCGATTTACACGCGTTTTCCCTTGACCAAATTTTGACCGTATCACCCTTTAGATAGTGAAAGATTTTCAACATTTCAAAGTTTGAAACACTAGAAATTAACGTGTATAACACATTGAACCAAGGTGAAATACACTTAAAGTAAATGTGATTGTGTATTTAAAAAACCAAGTGTTTAAACACTTCAATCAAACGTGTGGAATTTTTTGAGTGATGAATTTCATTGATTGATACATATGATATTTTTTGCTGTACACACATTAAAGCTCACATTAAAGTGATGAGCGGTGGTACCGGAAATTATAGGTTTTCCAAATCGTCCAGGACATCAGTTGATTTAGCCGGCGCCGTAAGTAAGCGTGACTGCTTTCTAACACCCCGATGGGTCTGGGTTCAATCCCAGCCGAGGTCGTTGGGATTTTTCTGAGGCATAAACATCTATGGTGACGTCTTCCTTCGGAAGGGAAGTAAAGCCGTTGGTCCCGGCCCATGTGTGTTGAATGGGTGCGATATCCTACGCAGATGTGGAAGCTACCTTCCTGCACATTCGATTGCCGTCAATGGATGGCAATCGATGTCCGTCGGTGATTGGCACTAGATTGCGGAGACCGACGTTAAATAAAGGAAAGGAAAATCAGTTGATTTGTTCTACTAGATCAACAAAGACTGCAGTAATGTGTGTAGTATCGAAAAATGTCCAATCAGATTCAAAGTATATATGTGGATCATGCATGAACTATTGTCATGTATACCAGATGTTTTAAGTTCTCCAAATCGTTCTGGAGTTCAGATGATTTATTCTACTAGATCAACCATGACTGGGATAAAGTCTGTAGTATCGAAATATATCCAAACAGATTCATAGTGTCTATATGGATAATGTTTAATTATTTCCACGTACACCAGATGATCTAGGTTCTCCAAATCGTCCTGCAGTTCAGATGATTTTTTTAACTAGATCAACAAAGACTAGGATAATATCTGTAGTATCGAATTATCGATTTGGAAATCCTAGAACATTTGACATCCACGGAAATAGGTTGGCATGATCCACATAGACACTGCAAATTTGTTTGGACATATTTCGATACTACAGATATTGAATTAGTCTTGGGTGATCTAGTAGAAAAATAATCTGATCTCCAGAATGATTTCAGAACCTATAACATCTTGTATACTTAGCAATAGGTCGGGTACAATCCACATAGACACTTTGAATCTGTTTGGATATATTTCGATACTACAGACATTATTGGAGTCTTGGTTCATATAGCAGAACAAACCAACTGAAATCAAGGACGATTTGGAGAACCTATAATATCCAGTATACATAGCAATTGCTCGCATATATACGATTCGTTTATGATTTGACAACGAAAAATGCTATGTTCATATTGGAAAAAAGGAAAATGTCTCACATTGGACAGACCTCAGGGAATTTCGGTGTAAATCCGAAGTGACTTATGGAATTGAGATCATTTTTTCTCGATTATTTGCAGGTTTGAACCGGTAAAAAATTGAGAGCCAAATGAACAACAAAATTGATGACAGCAAAATAATCCGGGACGAAAAGATTACAATGAATTCCACAATTTTTGTGACAGCACATCAGCCCCTTCGCGATTTTCGCGACATCATTTAATGTTTCCGCGATTGAAAATTCAAATCCGCGAAATCCGCGCCTATTGTAACAGCCCTGGAATTGGAATTTGAATTTTGTCCCACCCTACGTACATTCCATTAATTTTGATTATGAATGAAAATCTTGTGCGTTTCCAATGGAAGCTACATGAAAACTATTTCCGGTGTAGGATGGTAAGTGTTTAATTCATTTCAATAAAGCTGCAAGCCCCTATTATCTCACATTTCACGCCATCGAGTACTTCTTCATCAGCGTCTCCTTCAGCGCCTTGGCACCGTCCAGCTTCATCAACGGTTCCTCCGGGTGCAGCTTCTGCATGTGCATCACGTAGATCCGCCGATGGACAAATCCCTTCGGGCAAATGTTGCAAGTGTATGGCGTCTCGCCGGAATGCGTTCGCAAGTGAATCTTCAGCACACTCTTGCAGTAGAACGCCTTGCCACAGTGCGAACAAATGTAGTCCCGCGTTTGGGTGTGAATGTTCATGTGGCGTTGCAAAGAATGTCTGTCGCAATAAAAAAAAAACATGTTAATTATCAATTTCCTCCGACTAAAAATAAAATACCTACTGGCTGAGAATCTTCAATCCACACAAACTGCATTGGAACTTTCTCTCCAAGTGCACCGCACGCATGTGTTGCCTAAGAGTACCGGGGCAGGTTGCAATTTTCCCACATTCGGTACAGGAAACCTCCTTGCCGGTGACGTGTAAGCGGTTGATGTGATTCCGCAGATTGAGCTTACAGTTGAAACTTTGTCCACAAACTTCACACGCGAACGGCGACAATCCTTTGTGACCATTCATGTGACCTTCTATTCGATTTGCTGGCATTCGTTTGCCACAGAGCTCGCAAGTCTGCTTGTACTTTTCCATCGCCTTCTTGAAATAGGACTTCCGGTATTCCACGGGATCCATCGCTTTTTCGGCTTCCGTTTTACGCCGAATTGGCCGTTTCGGTCTCAGTTTCTCTGCTAACCGATCTTCCGGAGTTGGGAGCCCGCGCAGTCTGCTAGTCTTCCACGGATCTCTAAGTTCAGAGCTTTTCTTGCGATTCGTAGCCCCGGACTTTTGCACACCAGAACTCAACTGTTCCAATGTTTCCACGGAAAACTCCACAGTCTCATCGCAGTCATCCAGCAGCGACAGAAGGGCATCAGGCTCGGCCTGGTCATCTTCTCCTGAAGCTGCTGGATCGTCATTGCCAAGAAATGGAACTGGATTTTTATTTCCACGAAGTATTTGTCGACTTCGCTGCTTGTAGGAGTAAAATTCCAGAGTATCGGTCTCACATTCTTTGCATACGTCGCACTGGGTTGGATCATTTTCAGCATCTACCTAAACATGAATGGAATGTGTGGAAATACTTAACAATAATCCATTCAAATTTCCACTTCCGCAGGGTAGGTACTTACCCACATACAAATAATGTCCTGGAATTTTTCCCGAAAGAACCGATTTTTGAAAAGAGCATTCGCTTCGCAAGCCTTTCGACACATCCGGCATCGACCCATTTTGCTGTTGCTTTGAAAAATAAAAACCTGTAATAATGCAGAAAACTAAATTTATGTTGGTAAACACTTTCGCTTGAAAATCTCTGACGCAAATTTGACGCCAACATTATATTAGGGCGAAATTACTTTTGAAAACAATTACATCAACCACCGATTTCTCGCTAATTAAAGCTCTCTTTCTAGAAAACTAATCATACCAAATGATAAAGAAAACAAAATTCTACGTGATGGTGTTGTTAGTTTGCATGTGCAAGTTTTAATTTGCGAGAATTCGACGACCAAAAGCTTTAAAATGCGAGAAATCGATCAGCATTTTAGCCCTTTTGAAATGTTGTTAGAGAATTTATAAACAAAAACATAATTAGGGTGACCATCAGACAAGGTTGTAAATACTCATTTCAGCTAAACCAATGTTTTTTTTTAAATATGAAATAATTAGATGCTATGATCATATTTTGAATTTGTAAGATACAAGAAGAGGTTGCAAAGAATGTGTTTGACATATTAAACCTGTTTATTTCACTTCATGAGAGTCACAATCAGCGATTTTTCACAAACTCACTCACTCACTCACTCACTCACTCAGCGATCAGCAAATCGCTGATTGTGACTCATAGAAAGCAAAATTTACAAGTTTTATGTTTCAAACGCATACTTTGTAACCTCTTCTTGTAAGTTACAAGTAAAGCATGTCATCATACCATCTTTTGGTTTTATTATTCCGAAAAACATTATTTTAGCTGAAATGAGTATTTGCAACCTTGCCATCAGATTGCAAATGCGCCCTTCAGCAACTTTCCTCGTAATCTGTATCTTTTATTTCTGAAGGGCACAATGTGACGCAAATCAGGGATGCCAGATTTGAAGACAGAGCTTCATTTTGAAGACATTTGAAATTCTGTGTATTTTCCGCGGACCTCTTGAGAACCCGCATAAACGCGAACCATCACATGACCTTACCGATAATGGTTATAAATTGTTTATAATCCCTGCTAAACTTCAACTGAAATGGTTATGGAACTTTACATGAACGTTTAATGATAAAGTTTTAACCTTAAGTATTATAGTTTTTTGGAAGTGGACCTTACAAATAATGGGTTGTTAAGAACCATTACCATTCAAAATTCTTGTTTTCTCCATACATTTTCGGAAAGAGAACTATATTAGAACGTTTTTACTTATGGTTTGAGAACATTAATGGTTATGGTTATGGTAGTCAGTAAGGTCCATCAATGGTTTTGTATTATCGCTCAACTTTACGTGAAATATATCGTGAATTGGTAATCAGTAATTTACAGGCAACCAATTCGCGATATATTCCACATAAAGTTGATCGATGTTACAAAACCATTCATGGACCTTACTGGTTACCATAACCATTACCATTAATGTTCTCAAACCATAAGTTAAAAGGTTTTAGTATAGTTTTTTTCCGAAAATGTATGGAGAAAACAAGAATTTTGAATGGTAATGGTTCTTAACAACCCATTATTTGTAAGGTCCACTTCCAAAAAACTATAATACTTAAGGTTAAAACTTTATCATTAAACGTTCATGTAAAGTTCCATAACCATTTCAGTTGAAGTTTAGCAGGGATTATAAACAATTTATAACCATTATCGGTAAGGTCAATTTATGGTTCGCGCTTATGCGGGAAGACATTTAATGAAATTTTCATGATTTGTGGAAACATTTGAATACATAGGGGAAATGACTCTAATGTTGGCCTATGGATCTAAGATTGGGCCCATCAATAAAAATCTGCTATTTCTTGATAGAGCTGGAATTAGGGCGTAACAGCTTTTGTAAACAATGACTTCTCTCGATGATTTCTCGAAACTCAAGGCACGCCCACGCAAACAACATAACCAACGGGAAGCGGAAGTCTTCCCTTACCAGATGGAGACGTTGATTTGAGTAAGTAAGCCTTGGCTTTCTAGAGATCGTCGAGAGAAGTCTTTGTTTACAAAAGCTGTTTCGCCCTAATTCCAGCTCTATCTAGATTAATCAATTTTATCTAGATGAACGCGTCATTGGGACGGTACAAATAGATATTTTTGGACGCTATTGAAAATTTAGTCGATTGCTGAATTTATGTGTGGGCCCAAATTAGAGGCATTTATGCCGACATAACATCCATTTTCCCTATGTAAATTGAAGATTTTGGAGTAAACAAGTGAATATGTTTACTTTCTATTTTAAGGTGAATCGCTGTGGAAACGATGGAAACCTCATGTATGATTGATTACATCATCACCTCGAAATTTCAAGAGAACAAAAATATCGACTCTCACAAAACATGCAACAACGAAACTGGAACTCCATACGTTTGCTGCAGTGCTGCTAACAAAGAGTTCCAGTTTCATCAGCTTTGTTTCAACAATTTGCTCTCTGGAAAACTTTGAAGTGATGAGTTATGTTAGCCAACAATCAACATGATGGCCATTTATGGACTCTTCAGGGAATCACCGCAGACAGACATTCAAGCTTGATTCTCAGTATGTGTAAAATTCCATAGTCCTCCCCAGCCGGGTTCGTATTGGTGCGATTTGCATGTGTTAGTGAGATGAATTTTTTTGTTAGCTGTGAGAATTTTTTGTTTGCTGTAAGAACTGTCATTCTAAAGTAAAAATAAACTACAAAACGAAAACAGTAAAGTAAAAGTTAACCCATTTTTGATAAAGGTGGTTTTACTCATTAATGAGCAAATTATTTTAACAACAATGAATTTCTGCTAACAGTAGCTAACAGTTACTACTTAATTGGCATAGTGAATTACTCATTAATTAGTGGTGCCACTTTTATTGACAATGGCTTCACTTTTACTCATAAATGGATGTTTGATTCTTACCGTGCGCATGACAGTATACGCTAGTGTGTGTAAAATTATGTTATTAGTTTAGGCTGTGAACCAGTTGCCGAGTTAAATTTAACTCGTGGTTAAAAATGACATTTCGACAGTTATTTTCTATGTTCGAAAATCCCTGTGCTGTCAATCAACCGGTTTTCGAGCCACGGTTGTCAAAATTTAACTTCTTGTCTGTCAGAAATAACCATGCTCGGATAGCAGGGTTAATCGATAACTTGCCATCTGTCAAATTTTAACCAAAAGTTAAAATAATCCACCAAATGGTTCAGAGCCTTAGTGTTCGTGAGATCCTGTCAATGTAAAGGAGCGTGAAGACATTTCTCGCGTCACTTTTCAAATAGACCAATGTAACAAATGTAAACAAATCGAGTTAAGTGATACAAACTATTGCTCTTCTATCCGAGCTTCTATTATTGTATGTGATTCAAAAACATTCATCCAAATTTACTTTCATTTATTTAAGATAATCATAGGTCAAAAATTGTCCAATGTACAGTTTGAAATGATGGGTACATGTTTGTTACTTCGGTTATTCGGACTGCGTAACTTGATTGGTGCTCATTTTCTAAAGGCGGGGCCAATCTAAAGTTAGGTACTCTACTATGACATCTGTGAAAGGGGATCTGGATCTAGTATCATGTAGAACAAATCGTCCAATGTAACACTAATTGATTATGTCATTGAGAAAAATCGTCCAATGTAACATGTCCGATGTACAACTTGACCAATCAAAACGTGGCTTTTGCTATATTGTAGCTTGAAATTCAAATCAAAATTGTGATTTTACCATTTCTACTGAATTTTAAACGTTATTATTCACTGATTACATTAAAAATAGTATTGCAAAATGTATTGTTTCTAAAAAGTTAAAATACAAATCTGTCGAACTTCTATTATCCCAAAATGGTGGATATGTTACATTGGTCTATTTGAAAAGTGACGCGAGATTTTTTCGATTTCGTTAAAGAATTTTTCTAAAGATATCTGGCACCCCTGCGCAAAATCAAAACCATCGAAACGTCAAGTTTGCTACGTTTGTAAACATTTTCGGCAGTGCATTTACATTTTGTACTTTTGTAGTGAGTCCAGAAGTTTTTCCGCCTTTCTAACTTATTAAATTAAATTACTTTCGCACATTATCGTGTTGGTTTCTTTCGGAAAATGTCTGACGATAAAAAACGAAAGCTAAATTCAGGTAAAGTTGCTTCATTTAGTCGTGTTCCAACATCTTTAACCTCAAAAATTATCTTCCCACCAGCAGCGAAGGTTTCGTCGGTTAAGAAACCGAAACTGGAGGCTATCAAACCCGACGGCGACGAAGACGATGTCAAGGACCGCAAACCGAAAGGTCTTCTCTCGGATCCGGCGCTTCTCAATCGATCGAAGCTGTGCCCCTATCTGGACACAATCAATCGACATCTGCTGGATTTTGATTTTGAAAAGCTGTGCTCCGTTTCGCTGACCCGGATCAACGTCTACGCCTGTTTGGTGTGCGGAAAGTATTTCCAAGGCAGAGGCACGAATACGCACGCTTACACGCATTCAGTGGCCGAGTCGCATCATGTGTTTCTGAATTTGTCGACTTTGAAGTTCTACTGCTTGCCGGACAATTACGAGATTATCGATTCCTCGCTGGACGATATCAAGTATGTGCTCAATCCGGTGTTTACAATGAGGGACATTCGGAATTTGGATAAGGAGGACCAGAAGATGTCGCGAACAGTAGATGGAACGCTGTATTCACCGGGAATAGTCGGAATGAACAATATTAAGGCGAATGATTATTGTAATGTTATTTTGCAATCGCTGTCCCATGTGAAACCGATTCGGGATTTCTTCCTGATAGAGAAGAATTATGCCAATATCAAGCGACCGCCGGGTGATACGGCATTCATGTTGGTTCAGCGATTCGGCGAGTTATTGCGAAAGTTTTGGAATCCTCGAAATTTCAAGTCCCATGTTTCACCGCACGAAATGCTACAGGCGGTGGTACTGTGGAGTAACAAAAAGTTCCAGATCACGGAACAGGGAGATCCGATTGAGTTCCTTTCGTGGTTTTTGCATATCTTGCATAAACAACTGCGCGGCAATAAACAGCCCAACTCGTCGGTAGTCTATCGAACATTTCAGGGTGAAATGAAGATCTATACAAGGAAGCTGCCGCCGACAGAGCTGGACGATGTCCAGAAGCAGCTGTTGCTGGCGACGGATGAGTATCAGGAGAAGGTTGAGACGTCGTCTTTTCTGTACCTTACTTGCGATCTACCGGCCACGCCGTTGTTCATCGACGAATTCAGGGAGAACATCATTCCCCAGGTCAATCTGTACCAACTGCTGGCGAAGTTCAACTCAGTGTCGGAGAAGGAATACAAGACGTACAAGGAAAATTTCCTGAAGCGATTCGAAATCACTAGATTGCCGAAGTTCGTCATTTTGTACATCAAGCGGTTTACGAAGAATACTTTTTTCCTGGAAAAGAATCCGACGATTGTAAACTTTCCGGTCAAGTGAGTATTGGAATCAGCATTGGAATCAACCAGTGGTATTTGAACTTGTCCTGCTTTTACAGAAACATCGATTTCGGTGACATCCTAACGGAGGAAAACAAGCAGCTGCACAAGCACACCAAGTACAATCTGGTGGCCAACATCGTGCACGACGGCGAACCCAATGCCGGTACCTATCGGTGTCACATTCTGCAGAAAAGTACCAACCAGTGGTACGAGATGCAGGATTTGCATGTGACCAGTATTCTGCCGCAGATGATCACGCTGACGGAGGCGTATATTCAAATATACGAACAGCAGGAGGATGACGACGACGACGTCGTCGAAGTGAAGCAGCCGTCGTAAGTAGGGAGAGGCGAACGTTGACACCTATTTATAGGTGTTTGTGTTATGATAGGTAGTGTTTTTTTGAACCTTTAATTATAGGGTTAGGGTTAAGACTCGCGAAATAAATCAAAGTGTTGTTCTGCCGTCAACCAGGTGGGAATGATTTGGAAGTGGATTTGAGAAATCATGAATTCCGGGTTGTGACGGGTGTGATCCCGGTTGCATGGCTGGTAGCAGGTAACTTTTTACAAGTCGGTTACTTAAGTCACAGTTTTCAAGTAACAGTTACTTTATCCACGATTCCAAACATTGTTTGAAACTCTTCCGCTTTTTCTACACTGCTTGGTTCGTGAGTTTTGAATTCTCATTTACGTGATGTCCGAGAAAATTCGGAAAACTAAAATTTTCCGGGAAAATTAAGCTTCTTCGAATTCCAAGGTTATTGCTTATCGCCTATTAGCTTACTGCTTGCTCTCAACTTAGTGTTCTAGATGGACTTCCACAGCTATTAATTGAGAGCTTGCGATGCATGTACCATTTTTGCATTAGTATAATTGTGTGCCCACGGAAGTCGTGAAATTTTCCAATCCGAAAAATTTCTAGACCGGACCGAGAATCCAAACCAGCCACCTCCATCCAGCATGGTCTTGCTTTGTAGCTGTAGCTTTACCGACCGAGCTAAGGGAGTGAAAAATTAACCACCCCGAATGCTTTGAAATATTTTATCGTTCATATCATAAGCTCTACCAGTGGGCAAAATTTCATAAAATGCTGCGACGAATAATTTTAATAATCACTTGGGATTCTCCTCAGAATTCGCTAGCTATGCTTCGTGAAACAATCATTGAAATTCCTTTGTCTCTTCTCAGAATTCCTTCGCAATTATACGCGGAAAATACGTTTTCATTGGTATTCTTGTCGGAATTACCTTTGAACTAACCCTTAAGAAGGACACTAATAATTGTTCTCAGAATTTCTTTGGAATTTGTCCCAGAATTATTTTGAAACTATCCTTAGACCGCTGCCATGCTCACGCGGAAGGCGAAGCGAAGCTTCAAATCGAATGTAATGAATAATACCAAAAATTAAAAAAAAAACATTTGAACGCGTGACGCAACGCTTCGCTTTCCAAGTCAGCATGGCAGCGGTTTCAGGCCTTTGAATTCTTCTCGTAATTTCCTTTGGGTCAGGACCCTCTTGAAATACAGCTCAGATCTTAGTAGGAATACTCATTCAAATTGGACCATGAATCTTCCTCAAAGTCATAGAATTCTCCTCAGAACTATATTAGGACACTCCTTGAAATTCACCTGGAGTTTTTGTTTTTTTTTTTTTTTATCTAGTTCGTCAATTTGGAAGGTTCAATCGCGTAAGCTTTACGGAGTCGATAATTCATTGTTCTTTGTTTATAACAAAATTCACTTACTTCTATGTCTGGATGGAGTTGGGCCAAATACTCGCGGCTTGCCCGAGGTTAGAGTGGTACACTGTCGAAGGATAGGATCAGGGAAGGAACTTAGTGTGGGGTTTCGTCGTCTAATCAGAGCGTAGTCGCTAGTATGCGGTTCTAGATTCGTCTAGAGTTCGACCGGCTATGGTGACCAGTGGGTGACGATGAGACTCATTGAGACGGGGCACAAGACAAACAAACACTAATAAAGAGAGATAAAAGAATTAAATTCTTATATTAGACATTTGCAGAAACTCAAACCCCATCACTCATGGAATGGAAGTAAAGCTTCAAACGGAAATAACTGCGGTGTTTCCAAGGGGTAAGTCACTCAGCACATTAGCATAGCATAGCATAAGCGATTGCACAAATCGTGGGGGCCTATATAATGGTCAACCAATACATTTTGCAGAAAATATCGTGTGTTGCCGTGAAAAAAACACTTGGGACTTGTGGTTTTTCCCACGCATTAAAATGTACAAATCAAGCATCGCATTATACACCTGGCCACATCCTTACAATCGTAAGGGATAGGAAGGAAAATTAGTCCAATATCTACTTAAGAAGGTGCAGGGAACCCATACTAACTGCATAGATACCACGGGAGGGAACATTTGTGTTAGTAAAGGGTGTCCACGATGAAATTGCCACTCTATGAAATTGCTCTAACTTTTTAACCGTTGGGTAGAATTTAATGAAAATTTGGGTGGATTTAGTTCATAGTGCATTAAAGTTCATAGTGCAGTTTTAAAGTCCTGTGATCAAAACTCGCGGAAATGGAGTCGAAAGAACAGCTCGTGCGTGATAAAATCTTGCGCATTCATCACGAGAACAAGGATCTCTCGCATCGTTCCATCGCTAAAACGTTGGAAATCGCGAATTCCACGGTGTCGCGAGTGATTAAGCGGTTCGAGGAACGGTTGACCACCGATCGGAAGCCCAGAAGTGGAGGAAAAAGTATTCCGTACAACACCAAAAATCACAACCGCGTAGTTGGGGCCTTCAACCGAAATCCGAACGCCTCCGTTAGGGAAGTGGCTAAGAAGCTGCACCTAAGCCGAAGTTTTGTCCAGAAGGCCAAAACTAAGGCTGGGCTTCGAACGTTCAAGGTACAAAAGGCCCCTAATCGCGACGAGAAGCAGAACAAGTCCGCCAAAACCCGTGCCAGGAAGTTGTACCTCAACATGCTGGCGAAAGTTGAATGCTGCATCATGGACGACGAAACATATGTGAAGGCCGACTTCAAACAGATCCCCGGCAACCTGTTTTTCACGGCCAAGGATAAGTTCAGCGTTCCGGAGCATGTCCTCACTCAGAAGATGTCCAAATTTGCGAAGAAATTCCTGGTTTGGCAAGCCATCTGCACGTGCGGGAAGCGGAGTGCACCTTTCGTGACCCAGGACACGATGAACGGACAGGTGTACATAAAAGAGTGCCTCCAGAAGCGGCTGCTTCCTCTCCTGAAGGCCCACAACGTCCCAACAATCTTCTGGCCGGATTTGGCCTCATGCCACTACTCCAAGGACGTGCTGAAGTGGTATGCGGACAATAAGGTCAATTTCGTGCCGAAAATGTTCAACCCTCCCAACACTCCGGAGCTCCGCCCCATCGAGAAGTACTGGGCGATTATGAAGCAGCACCTTCTTAAACGACCTAAGGTAGTGAAGACAGTCGAGGAACTGAAGAAAGTATGGGTTTACATGCAAAAAAAACGGTTGATTCACAGGTTGTGCAGAATCTTATGGCCGGGGTTAAGGCCAAGGTGCGGGCATTTGCGTATGGACTGTAAATAAAATACGAGTAAAATGGTAAAATGAAGTTTAATAGTTATTTCTCAATCCCTGAAAATTTGATGGCAATCGGATGAAAACTCGAATTTTGCGAATAAATTTTGTGTGTGGCAATTTCATCGTGGACACCCTTTAGGAAATGGAATATATTTAGGAATCTCTATTCGGCAATATAAAGTAAAGGTTATGTGAAAATGCAATCAAATTTAAATTAATACAAAAAGAAAGATCTCATCAAAATTATCTGCTATAAGCCTATCTTTCCATGTTTTCGAAGCTGTTTCATGCATTATGCTTGCCAATACTCTCCGGCAACCGTTTTCTTTTCACACCGAAGCATTGAGACCATTCATCACTCTTTCGCTTGCGCTACTCGGGTAAGTCACGCAGCACATTGTGCAGAAATTAGATTCGGCACAGCTTGGGCACATCCATCGGCACATCTTCGGCACAATCTAGTAGGCATTGGATTGTTGTGAATAAAATGGGAGCACCGAGGGGCGATCAACTTCATAAATCAGCTGAATTGTAAATACACACTTCGGAAAATACACAAAAAGAATACGTAAATGTGTACACGTTGAAACTAAAATACCCTAATAAAAATACCTCGAAAATACTTTGTACACGAAAAAAACATTTCATAATGAATTTAATACACTTTAATACAAAATACACAAAACTTAAAAAAAACATGAATACGAAAAATTACAAAATACACCTTATCAAGTCGGGTAGATGAATCGAAAATACTCAAGTTGCACTGCTGAACAGCTGTCATTGAAGTTGTTTACAACATTACGTGCTGTTTGACTGTATATTCAGGAACATCCTCTAATTGAATACACCAGAGGAACTCAGACCAGCAGTTCACTTATAGATCTAAATACGAAATATAAGTTCTAGAGTGGGCTCAAGAGAAAGAGGCAGTTATTTAGACCCCATCAGTACCCTTAATTCAAATAATGCTGCAACTCACACAAAACAAACTACAGAAGTCTATTCATCATCCTCTATAGTCGGTCTTTAACAATGTTCCCCACCGGTTCCAACTCTTTCCGGCCGCTGATAGACCGTTGCTTTTAACATCACGAAAGGCTAGATTTCTGGTCTGCCTTTGAGGGCATTACAAAACCCTAAAACACATAACTTTTATTATCCTATGAACACAAAACATAAAAATTTCGCACACCCGCCATTTCCTGCGTCATCCTTTATCCGATTTTCGATTTCAAACCAAATCAGGCATAACATTTGCTAGCGGTAGCGTTAGCGTTGTTATGATATACTTCGTAGATTGTATACTAGCGACACTCACGTCTCTTCTGAAATTCTCGGTTAGACTACTTTCAGGAATAATGCTGGGGAGTAAACATTGGTTCCAATCAAAACAAGAGTAACAGAAGCATGACTGTCGCTATTCCCGGCCACGCCCATCTTTACCATAACTAGGGATATGGAAGGAAATGTTGATGTAGTACTTACTTAACGAGAGGCCGCCAACTTAGCGACACCCTCATAAGTGCTACGGAGTTGGAGGGTTGGGTAGGGTATTCGGTTAGGATTCACCTCAAGTTGGCAATGCAACCAAAAGTATGTATTGTTTATTTGTTCATTTTGTTTAGTGATCATGAATTTTAAGAGTCATGACGGAGAGCTTGGGATTAAACCCATGATTTTCTGGTCAGTAAGCAAAAACGATCCCTCCAGGGTCATCGAGCATCTCATAATCCACAGCGCTTCGCGTCAAAGTACGAATATATGGATGAACTATCTATTATTGAATAACTATTATTTACGATAATTACATGAAAGAAATAAAATATAAACTACAAACAAAACGTGACA